TTCTGTCCTCCTGTCCTCTGACTGTTTCTGTCCTCCTGTCCTCTGAATGTTTCTGTCCTCCTGTCCTCTGTTTGTCCTCCTGTCCTCTGACTGTTTCTGTCCTCCTGTCCTCTGAATGTTTCTGTCCTCCTGTCCTCTGTTTGTCCTCCTGTCCTCTGACTGTTTCTGTCCTCCTGTCCTCTGAATGTTTCTGTCCTCCTGTCCTCTGTTTGTCCTCCTGTCCTCTTTCTATTTCTGTCCTCCTGTCCTCCTGTCCTCTGACTGTTTCTGTCCTCCTGTCCTCTGTTTGTCCTCCTGTCCTCCTGTCCTCTGACTGTTTCTGTCCTCCTGTCCTCCTGTCCTCTGTCCTCTTGTCCTCTGACTGCAGCGTCTCACAGGAAGTGGTGCAACAGGAATAAAGCAGGAGTTATGAGGAGGAACAGATCATCAGGATGTCCTCATGAAGGAACTGTTTTCATGTGTTTGATTCTCTGAGCCATTGCACAAACCTGTGACCTGTGACCTTTGACCTGTGACCTGTGACCTCTGACCTTTGACCTGTGACCTGTGACCTCTGATCTGTGACCTCTGGACATTAATGGGACACAGCAGCAGAATAACTTCAGACAGAAAATAATTCAACAGTTTTCAGATCTGATCTAGTTTTCATCAGCTTGACTTTGTGCTGGGAGGAAACAGGAAACTAGATATAAAATAAAGAACTATGACATCATAAATCTGAACTATGACATCATTCAGACATCTGAACTATGACATCATTCAGACATCTGAACTATGACATCATTCAGACATCTGAACTATGACATCATTCAGACATCTGAACTATGACATCATAAATCTAAACTACATCATAAATCTGAACTATGACATCATAAATCTGAACTATGCCATCATTCTGTCATCAAAACTATGACATCATTCAGACATCTGAACTATGACATCATGTAAAGAAGAGTAACGGTTGTGATTTTTTTACAGTTTATGACTTGATTCTGCCTCTCCAGTAGTTAGATATTGTGAGTCTGTGTGTGAAGCTGTATTTTCTCTTCTCTACAC